CCAAGCTTTGATATTAGCAGCATCCCAGTGGGCCTTTCAAGTCTTAGCAACACACTTCAACTCGTCAAAGAGACAATTGATGTCGATCTTTTGGCCGATTGTCTGCTAAACCGTTGTGGTATCTCTCATGTCTTGATACATTTACCTGTTCCATATCACCCACTACGCTGTTACAACTTTTTATTTGCTTATCTAAACATAGTCCAGGTGTGCCCTTTTGAGCTGATTTAGTGAAGCCCATTCACACTGCCAGCAGGTTCTCTCTTCATCTCCCACCCACTTTGCTAGGAGTGTTAATCCAAGTCCACAATCCTCTTCATCTAGGCTTTATCAGAGTCTCTTATTTCCCAGTAGAATCCTCCTACTATCTCTCTGGTGTAGGGATTTCATTGGAGCACTGCCATCCTATCTGTACTTCACAATTAGTTATTCCCCCCCCCCTTTTCCTCGTGCCCTTGATGGCACGTATACTCCTGTATCACTGAGCCGGCTTGCCACATATTATGGAAATAGAATAAAACGCAAGATCCGAGATACTATCGAAAACCTGCTACATGAAGAAGGCAAGAATAGCACAAATATTGCATATTTCCCGAGCAAACTTGTTGAAGATCAGTAAAAAAAGACGATTGAATCAAGGTAATATTTTTAATTTTAGGAAAATAAATCGCAGGGAACATTCAGAAGCGAAGAGAAGGCTTCTACAGTGAGCCTAACCAAAACAAGTAGAAACGCAACATTTGGAAGTTGACACACAAAAGACTAACGCATAGGAAATCAGAGACTTGGTATTATGGATAAAAGAACGAAAAATGCGGTGGAGACTAGAGGCAATTTGCTAAGCGTAAACTTGTTTGATCATAGACGTGATCCACGAAGCAGAGGCTCGATCTTGAGAAGTATCCGGGGCACATGTAAAACGGTGATAAGGAGATAGATGGGCTCAAATTAGTCTCCCACTCAGCTTAAGAATCGAGAAGTTGGAGGCCTGCTCAGCGAGGCCAGAGCTTACGTTTCCTTTGAATTTCACATAGCCTTGCTTTCCCGGCAGGTAATCTAATACAACTAGGAGTGGACGGCAGTTTCTTCCTCACCTGAACTGGTGTCATTAGACCCACAATCGGGACTCGAACCATGACATTGTGGCACGTAATTTCTCCATATTAACCATTACGCCACGTTGCCACGAATGCCTTTAGGTCATAGGGCAGATGTGAATTTAAGGAAGGTTAGGAATTTTCTTCCATCACATATTGTGGATTGATTATCAATCAAAACCTTGCTTATTAGACGAGAAATGATTAATGTAGTCGATTGGTATGCCAAACACAATTTCGATTCATTGATAATCCCACCACAGTATGTGCTATGTAAAAATGCCTGGCCTTCCATTCAATTCACCTCTGCTCTGTGATGCAAAGGGTCTTATTTCAGTGTTGCGAACTGGTTAACGCGTCTAAATTGTACGCTGCACTTTCGTGGTTCGAGTCCCGCTGGGGTGCTGATAAAACAAGTTCAAACGAAGTCGTAGCTGTAGTACTTTTTGGATGAGAAGACTTTTTGGGAAAGCAAGAGTATGTTAGATTCAGTAGTAGTCTATTCATATGATTGTGGTAAAATTCAATTACCAGTCATCTTATGACTTTAGACTAATAATAGAGTGATTGCATCTCATATATCTATTTTCACCCGAAACAAGGGAGGACATCTCATGGACTGTTTCAACCTGAACATCGTAATGAAGCCAAACGACAGCGTAATAATGGTTTCGCTGGAAGCACAAATGTCATCAGTCAGCACTTTCGTATGAAAGTAAAGTCGGCGCGACAATGCTAGCACCGAAGGTGTATAAAAATGAGAAAATGCGGCATAGAGTTCTGCACACAATTCATTCAGCATCAAAGAGAAGTTGGGCTTAGAGGACTGGCCTGGTTTACAAGGGTTGTTCTTACTTCATTTTTGAGTGAAAGTGTGTGCTGAAGAGATTCAAAGGTCGTTAGTTTGAATATGGAAGTATGGTAATGTTCATCACATGATGAACGAAAGCGTTGGTACGAACAAGATTTCCTCGAGTCCATGTTAACAAGAAGGTTCCAATAAACCCAACCGGCATCGGGCATCCGTCGTCTTCTGATGGGATTCACATTAGAATCTCTCCATCACACTCGTCTTTTAATTTTAAAATGGAAGTAAACTCATTGCTTAAAGCGTCGAATGCTATCCAATGGGATGGCCCGACTCATCGAAAGAGATCTGTATCGCTTGGACGTCCATAGTTCGAATCTCACTGTTCAAAAATGCTGAACTTCAACGGATAGCTGAATATTGGAGATGTTCCTCTTTCAGGACCTAGCCTATACCATCCTCAGCATTACCTCTGATGCCTCTCCAGCACAATAACTGCCCTTAGAGCTGTCAGGAAATGTATACGGCCCTCGTCACCACCTGAAGCCGCATGGAACGACTGTCGCATTCAAGAATTAGTGATAGATTCAATTACGACTTACACCGAAAACGACAGAAAATGAGCCTTTGTCTGAGGTCCTGACAACTTGCTATTTTCTTTTGAAGACCCCCTAACTGTCGTCAATAGACACACATAGTGTGCAGCTTGGGACGATACTATCTACAGAAATGATTGGGTTCGCTCTTCACTTCGAGCCAATCTCAGTGGGCCCTCGTTAGTACCGACTCGAAGCAGTGGATTCGCCGATCCTGCTGGGCTCAGGTGTTCAGGACCCACCTGATTGGTGAGTTTGTCTCCAGAACCCGGCAGTATCCGACCTGGAGACTGCTGCTTTGGCGGGCAAACGGATCGGAGGTGAAAAGTCGAGCAGAAACAGGAAATTGTTGACCCTCGACGTGAGAGAAAGAGTTCAGCTGCCTCGGGCTTCCTCGGATCTACCGACTGAGCAGGCATCTTTGGCCAGTCCGGCAGGGCGTGATGTGATAAAAGTGTGCCATCAGACTCGGGAAGAGGGACAAAACTGTCCATTTTCACCTGTTCAGACCCGGCTTGTCCGGCAACTTGGACGCCCATTCAAACTGGGTGCCTGATTTCCACCACAAAGCGCAGGCTGCCCATTTTCTGTAGGTCACCGACGTTTTGCTGGCACCTTTAAGTCGGGAATATAAACAAACAAGCGGAACAGCGCGGGGCTGACAAGAGACGGACAGCAAAGCGGGTGGGAATGGAGGGAGGCAGAAGTCCATCCTTTTCCGTACTTCTTTCAGCGTGTCCCTGCCTCACTTATCGCAGATTAGACGAGACGACCGACTGGGGGTCCTCTCGACCCCACCGAACCAACACAGGCCTGTCGCGACCATACTCCGTCTCCTCTTCCTCCAACACGGGCACAGCACGGCTTATCTTAATCCTGGCACCGGCCAGACCGGCACTCGGGCGCCACCATTTGCCCGGTTGGGCGCATACTCGCATTCTTATTCATACATATTTACACACATTCACATATTCATTAGTGTTTCTGTTCCACTAATCCAATGATCAATTGCCGTCCGGCCGTGAGGATAGGCAGTCGTGACGGTTGCTAGCGCAGAAGGGAAAAGACGATCCGGCCCAAGGTGGGTCCGATCTCCCACCTTCGGTACCACAGTCGGGAGGACTGGGGAGTTGTGACTTATTTCGCTTTTTCGAACATGCTCAGCAAGATCGGGTGAGAAGTGCAGTACCAAATTTGCATCAAATCAAACAGTTGAAGTGAGTCACGTAAGTGAATGCTAAACAGCATTGTTTCACATTTTCATAATGTCCCAATCAACCTACAGATTCCCTACACACCATCTATCCACCCACGCCATCCACCCACCTATCCACTTGGCTGCGATCAGTTCTTATCAGGAGGACGCTAGCCGTGTTCATCCGCC